AAGGCGATCCTGGGCGTGTCTACGAGATGACGAAGTGTCAGCTATTCCATTTCGCCGGTGGCTCGCACTCAAAATACACGGACTACGTTCTCGAGATGATTGTGCGCTTGGAGGAGGCATCACCGGAGCTGAAGGAGGAGATCCTGCGCCTCAGTCTCGTCAACTTGACGGGGAAGCCGGGCGCGTTCTCCTATGGCGATCTCGTCCAGGAATATTTCAACCGCCTTCTTGATGCTGTCGTGCGCCATAAAGGAGTGGAGTACGGAGATAGCTTCATTCGCAATGTCTGGTCCCGCAATCTTCATCACGTCGCCCAGCTCAAGGGCGAGTGGCTTGAGGGGCTAGGTCTGAAGCAGCGTTCGGCTGCACATAGCGATCCCTCGCGTCAGGCCGACATGCGTACACTGCTGAATGTATATCGCACACACCAGCTGCATACCTACCGCCCTCATCGCATCATTGTCGATGACAACCTCGATCGCTTCTCTGCTGGCTACCAGAGCCTCGAGAAGAAGAAGCTTGCTTCATTTCTTCGTCGTAGCTTGCTGAGGCGAGGCGTAGCACAGAAGCTGCCCAGTACGGCTCCGACCGACGTCTCCCCTGTGCCGTCCAACAGCCAGGATGGTGTCACAATTCCCGGTGGCGAAGGAGATACCGATGCAGACGGCGACGATGCAGATGTAGATGGCGAGGAGCACGTAGGGGGTCCTGACGAGGACATGGTATTTGCACAGGTCATTGACGGGCATCTCTTTGTTCTTTCTACTGATCTCGAGGAAGAGATGCTTGAAGTTCTGGATCACTTACATCTGCAGGCTCACGGTGATGGGGAGGAGCTGGAGGATGAGATCATTCCAAGTAGTGACCCGCTCCCGGAGATTGAGGATGCGGAGATGGACCGTACCTCCGACATAGAATACGATGACTGCTAGATCTACACGCTGGTACACCAATAGACTATACATCTTCCTCGCAATCGTCAGATTCTACGTTATCTATCCCTGCCTGCTCTTCGATGGCATGAAGCTCCATCTGTACTTGGGCGGTTGCTGCTCGTGCAATCTCCGCCTCTTTTGCTGCCTTCTGTGTCTGCCGACGCAGTCTAGCTTGAGCATTCCTCTTGACTCGTGCCAACTCGCGAATGTCATGGAAGATCGCATGAAGCTTCGCGAGACAGCTCAGGATCTTGGTGCACGCAGCTCGAAGGTGCCGGTTGTCCGCGATCAAGAGCTGAATCTCGTGTATGTCCTCGAGCGGCTTGTCCAGTTCGCGAAGGTGCTCCCCAGAGATCAACGCAGAGACGGTCTCAGAATCAAGCTTGGTCTGCATGAGATCAAGCCATCTGTCCATCGTCTGTGGCGATAGAATGGCGATGAGCGGTGCATCGTCATCTTCTGTAATGCCGCGCGCGATATCCCATCGCAGGCCCTCAAGCTCCTTCCTCCCGATCTCTCGCATGCTGGCGGAGATCCGCTTCTTCGCAGGGATCTTTTGAGTGGACGCTGTTGCTGGTTGAGCCGAAGATGCAGGAGCGTCCACTACTTCGGGCTGACAGCCAGAGCATGTGCATGGCGAGGGGAATGGATGGCGGGGGCGTGTGCGACAGCTGCTGCATGAGCAAGGCTGCTCGTCTGGATCGTTCTCGTACTGTTCATCGATGTTTGCTACCTTGCACGCTGCGAGGGCTAGCTGTGGAAGGCTGGTGTCGATTCGCTTATGAGGGCTCTCCTCAGCTTCCGCAATGATGGCACTCGCTTCGGTATAGGTCTTGTTGGGGAGGTAGATGATCAAGTGGGGTGAGGGAACGGCGATTGAGTCACGTCCTGCACGACCACCTTTCTGTACAGCGTCATCGAGATCGGTGGGATGAATGACAATGACGAGATCGATGTCTGGAATGTCAATGCCAACGGAGAGCGTATCGGTTGCGATGACCAAGAGCGACGACGACGTGCGCAAGAGCTCCAGAGTCTCGCGATTATACTCGTCGGTGTGGAGGCGATGGTACGTGCGCGGCCGAGATGCCATTGTTGCACCCGACTGCTTTCCAAGCAGATAGAACGCGATCTTGCTGCCCCACTTGATGCTCGAGCAGAACACCAAGATTTTCCCCTTCGCATGAAGAAGCCAATCGAGGTCTGGAAAGCGGTCGCTTTGGCGGCTCTGGTGGAGAGGACGGACAGAGATTTTCATCTCATATCTGGCATTTGACCGATGAACAAAATGGAAGTGGCCCGCTTGTAGTCCGAGGAAGCGACAAACAGCATTGCGAGGCGAAACTTCTGCAGTTCCAGAGCGCAGGGTAGCCGTGAACGCGACGAGAGGACAGCCCTTCGAGAAGCGCGAATGGATGTGGCCGATCTGAGTGTACTCCGTGCGGAAGCCTGGTCCCCATACCCACATGAGATGAGCTTCATCCACCATCAGAGCAGCTTCGCGCCGCGCAAACGCAGGGTCCTCCAGAAGATGGCCGAATGCGTTAGATGCGAGCATCTCGGGTGTCATGAGCAGGACGCTATAGCTCGTGCTCTTTGCTTCCCGAAAGATATCCTTGTGCTGCTCGTTCTTCATCTTCTCCCTCCGCTCCTTGCTGATGACAAGCGTAGGAATCGAGTATCGGTGCATCTTTGCTTCCTATACTGTCATTAGGGGAAGTTTGCTCAACATGCAGACATGTACTCACAAGGTCATCTTCGAGGGCATTAGTGGGACAGATAACGGTAATAACAGGGTTTTGTGGTCCTTTATATTGTGGACAGAGCGATGGATCACTAGCAAGGGCACGTAGAACGATGATGACCATATAGATGTACCCGGACTTTCCGCTTCCTGTGTAGGTTACGGCCAGGACGTGTTTGCGGTCGAGGACGCGCGTGATAACATCGAGCTGATGGTCGTGTGGCTCTTGTTCTGTTTTATCTTGAATTATTCTGGAGCAGAGAGATCGACCCTCGGGCGAAGAAAACTGAAAAGCCATTGTTACGGCGAAGAACGGAGTTTTTGCACGGGCAGCACGCTCGCCAGCGACAAGATGCGCGGCAGGACGCGTCAAATCATGCTTGATCGATCATAAATTACGCGCGGTACAAGCGGTTGTCAAAGCGCTGGGAGTCATGTGATGAGAAATTGGCCGAGCTGCCAAACGGCCGCATTTGATAAGTAGCAGACGTTCCTTGCGGAACGGCTGCCTACGGGAGACTACTTTGGACTTACTTTTGTACTGTATGCGTTCTTGTCTGCTACCTCAATGTAACAAGCAAGTTTATCGTTCGCCGCGGGGCATACATACTCGAGGAACACGCCAACAGGCAGTGCATTCCGATCGTAACGACCCAGAGCAACATCATGGTCTATTGGACGCTGACAGAGGTTGCATATACGGATGATACCTGGCGGACGGAATGGGACCAGCGTCCGGCAGTGACTCTATGGAAGTGATGCATTGAACCTGCCTGAAGCTAGCCACCATCACTACTGCCCTCCTTAAGTCATGACTCTGCCTGTCTTTTTGCATTGAAGTGCTCCCAATGAAGCTGAACACAGGAAGACTTGGTGGCGGACGTTAGGCTAGGTACCTTTCTCGTCCTCACCGAGTGCCTGAACAGTGGCAGTGAACATCCATTCCCTCATAAACGGCTCGCTGACTGCGGGAGTCAAGGAAGTCACTGGCTCAGTCCACCATCTTCCCCATCTCTTCTACACTTGACTTTCTGCACCATGGGCAACGCTACCAGCAGGGACGGTTCCGTCACGACTTTCTGCGAGAAGCTCCCCGTCATAGGCTACGGCGTTGCAGCAATCCAACTCATCGCAGGAAACCCCGAACACGCCAAGCGGGCGGCTGCGACCAGTACCAACGCGGTCATTACTACCACCGGCGCCGTGCTGGGGTCCGTCGCAGGAGCAGCAGTCGGTGTGGTCGGCGGTCCGGCGGGAGTCGTAGCTGGCGCTATCGCCGGCGGAGGGATTGGGAGCGCGGCAGCGGCTCAGGTTGGTATGGTCGTCGAGTACGGGATCTCTACAACCATCGACGACGAGAAAGTCAAGGGCGGCGTTGGGGAAGTGTCCTGGAAAAGGGCGGGGAAGGACGCTTTGATTGGTGCTGTAACGGGTGCTGCTGGAGGGGCGTTTGGCGCGTCAAGCGTTACGGGTGCTATGGGCAAGGTTACCGTTGAGACCAGTACACAAGCAGCACTTGTTGGTGGAGCCAGCGTAGTGAGCGACGCGAGCACTAAGTGAGTCCTCAGTTTGTCGAGAATACTGTATCCGATGCTGACAGGTTCTTCCAGACTCATACTCGAGAATGTCAGCAAGCAAGGGTTTCCTGCTGACCCTGCGGTTGACGACGACAAGCCGAAGATGAAGGAACCGCGTCGGGTCGTCACCCTGAACCAGGATAACGAGGCCAAGTCGCTGCGGGCGTACTGCATCTACATGAAAACGCAGTACCCTCTCAAGGTCATCCTGGACGTCTACATGAACGCCAGCAACTTCTTCGATATGTACGTCGTGACCGGCGCCGACTGGCACTTTGCCACCGAGTGTGTCGAAGCCGCGTGTACCGAGCTCGCAGCGAAGCGAGAAGGCGAGAACGGTTCTCCGGAGACGTACAGATGGTTGCAAGACGAGATCAACTGGGCAACCAGGCTTGGGCGAGGTACACCGATTCCCGCGGATGCGCAGAACCGGATCAGCGAAGCGAGTCGAACAGCCATTCTCGACGAGATCGATCGTCGTACGCAGGAGGGAGGGGAGCCTTTTGATCAGGCTCTCGAAGGGCTGATGCGCGCTCTCGATGAGGAATTTGTAAACCTGAAGAGGTTGATGTATGCTGAGACGCAGTTTATGTAATCGCTAGTGAAGGGAGAGATGTTGATCGTTCAGTTTGGCGCTATTAGTATGATGATGCCAAATCACCGGCGCCGTTCTGAGGCGAGCATCTTTGCAACTGAGAAGCGCGACCATCCATTGTCCTTCGAGGAAGAAAGAAGGTGCAAAAATGTCGGTAGCAGGAATCGAACCTGCGGCTCCTCGGGGAGAGACCCGCCACAACGAGGTGATTTAACCCCTAATCGATACCGACGCTTACAGGGTAGAGTTCCAGCGTGTACCTATGCATCCATTCAGTTGTTACTTACGCAAACATCGAGCTTGAAGTTGAAGTTTCGAGGAGAAACTGTGATTTCTGGTCACCAGGGAGCACCGCGAGTCTGCACACGGCACTGAGAGACACACAGTGTTGTCAGCAAGTTCGTTAGCGACGCCCGATACGCATAGATACGCAGTCTCCAGAGTCCATAGACAGGTTTTCAGTCTAGCAACCCACTCTAATATATACATACTGGTCAATAAGGTCCTCGTGTAACGACTGAGTAGATATACGGCTATAGTAGTCATCTTTTGATAATGTACGACATGTGACGATGTGATGAAAGCTGAGTAGTCAACGAGGCTTGGTGAATAAGTTAGGCAGACGGCGATCGCGCGTTGTGGTCGATTATGGTTTCGCTGTGGGGCATTGTCAGTCAAGACGATCAGGCAACACAGAGAAACAACGTACAAAGCTGCTCCTTGCGGTAGAACCAGAAATAGCCGACAACGATGATGAGCTGACAGATGAGCGCAATCCAGAACAACGGCGATGCGACAGGGCTCCCTATTCAGCTGTTAGCTACCAATGTGGCAGGAGCAGTAGCCAACATACCGGTCACGCCTTCGCTGGGCTGCCACTTGGCAACGTCTGGGAAGACGCCCGTCGCGCCAGTGGATGGTGGCGAGGTCGCACGCGCGATCATGACCACTATCGAACCAATGACTTGCGAGAAGGCAAGCGTCGCGCAGACGTGTAATCGAGAAAGCGTCTGCAAGAAGCGTTGAGCATGGTGTAGACGCATTCGTGTGCTCGACCCACCTGTAGCAGGATCATGCCCAGACCGACACCCTGGATGGCATCTAGGACACCAAGCCACAACCACAAAGACACTCCAAGGTGGTAGCCGGCGTCGCCTGCCCAGGGGAGGTAGAGGCCGACGGACGATGTTCCCCACAACATTTGACACCATCGAGGAGCACCGAGACCAACAGCGAAGACAGGCAATAGCCAGGTATGCGTTTTGGCGAAGTGGGTGAGGATGAACATGAGTATCGCCCACACGACGACGAAGAAGACGAAGACCAGGATGACTGTTTGCCAAACCGGTATCGGCACTGTCCATAAATAGGTCCAGTTACGGCCATAGGGCTGATTCTCCATCAGCTACGAGAGCGCAAACAGAGAGTAACAAGCTTACCACACTGAGCCAATAATCGCGCAAAATCTCTGAAGCCAGAAACCAAAGCACCAAGTGACGGCGGAACATTGTCTTCAAGAACTGAGGCACTTGAGGTGGCTTCTGTCGGTAGTAGTCTGGGCGAAACATCAGCGGACGCGAGGATAAGGATGGACGCAAACGTACCAGGAAGACCGTGGAAGAGCAACCAGAAGAAGAGGAAGCTCATCGCCGCCAGCGGGAAGACGATGCACGAAATCCACCATGGCGCGCGGTAGCTATCGTCCTTGCCCGTAAGGGAGTAGCCCCAGTACCAGAGGGCGGCAACCCAGATTTGCTGCGAGCCTTGTACAACGCATGCGCGAAGCATCCAGACCTCCGTAGCGGCACCTGCTTCCTCGCCGAAGTTGAGACCGAAGAACGCGAATGAAGCCGCGGATGCAATTGCGTACGCCCAGGTGGCTCCGTTTGTCAGGCCCTCCCGTGCATCGTCCAAGGCCGTGACAGCATACGGTAGGCCAATGAGGAAGAACGCGATGCCGAAGAATAGCCACGGAATGGACAGGATGTATACCGACGGCTTGAGGCGGAACATGGGGTACCATACGGCTGATGCAGCGAGGAAAACACCGCCGATGATGTAGAACTGCGTATCGTTCTGACGATTTGTACCGCTGAGCAAACCGATTTGGAAGCTAGTCGCGCTAAGCATCTATAATAAAGTTAGGAATAATAAGAAGACGTAAGGCTGCGACGCACCTGAGCAATGGCCATCAAGATGGTATACAAAGGCCAGCCTCCGACTTCCCTGGACATCAAGATCTGCGTGCGGTTCATCAAGACAATGTTCTCCTCTTGTAGTGGTGCATCCTCCGCGCCGGTGGAGTATCGTGATAGCGTCATACTACTGCGCTGTCCGCCGACTATGGAAGGGATCAGTCAGATATAGAAATAAAACAGCAGATACAGCTTACGCTCGGACGCCGTGTACACAGAACTTGGGCGCGAATGGAACGAAGAGTCGCGGTGCGAACGGAGGCTGGCGGCGGTGTCCAACTTGTCCTTGCGGACCTTCTCGAAGAATGCTTCCTCGCTCTTCATGAGGTACTTCTCGATGGACAGTTCGTGTTCCGAGTTCTTGGGGTTTAATTCACGCAACTTCTGGACGAAGTCGGCAGCGACTGCACCATCGGCGTCCGTGAACTAGAGCTTGAATTAGAAACAGTGCACGATATGGAAGAGAAGACATACCGAAGCTATCGCTTTGTTCAGAGGCGAGTCCGATTTCTCATCGACGATGGACGCGATGGACTCGGCGGATGAGACACGGGAGTACATGGTGAACGGACGAGCGGGCGCGGCGCCTTCGAGGAAGGGATCGGGAGCACCACGCTGGTCGCGGGCGATGGCGCGGTTGGCACGAGACAGGAAGTTTTGGAAGTCTTCAGCGCCAGGGTCGTACAGTCGGCCGTCTTCCGACGCTACGGAGCCTCGATTGCCAGAGTCCAACAGGCGCGGCCTTGCAGAGAGGTAGTCATTCGCCACACCGCTATCTGGCGATGCCCCCGACAACGGAGTCTGCGGGGAGCCTGGCGTGCTCGGGATCGGGCTGATGACACTGTTGCCACTAACGCTCGCCATGCTGTTCCTGCCCCAGCTGGGTTGCTGAGGATGGGCGACAGCCTCGGGGTTCCAGTCGTCCGTCTCTTGCATGATGCCGAAGCTTGTTGCTGCGTTACCATCACTAGGACGCCATGCATCATGTCCCGCGATACTCCTGCTGGCATTGATACTGCGCGTGTGGAAGTCCTCCATCCGTTGACGCCACTCGACGACTGGGAATCGTTGTACGGCGGATCGCGCGCGAAGAATAGCACGTTCCTCCTCCGTCGACTTCAGAGCCATCTTCACAGTCTTGTGGAATTGAGACAACATGTGCGCGGTCGAGCTTGATTCGACGGGGAACCACTGCAATACGTTGATCAGGAATTGAACAAGAAGTCAGACAGGCAAACTTACCCAACCGGGCATGAGGCCCAGACCGCCCAGACGACTTCCAACTCCGAGAGCACCCTTGCGACCGAACTCCACAGCGACAAGACCGAAAGGCTCGTCTCGCGACGGAATGAGGGCGAAGTCCGCACCGCTGAACAGGTAAGGGGGTAGGGCCGTGAACTCAGGCTTCGAGTAGACTCTGTCCGGGTACAACTCCATCAGGCGTGCCAGCTTCTCAGCGGCGAACCGGCCATAAAGATCGATGACGGGACCGACAGCGATGAGCTGTATAGACGGCTGCTTGTCGAGTCTGCGATTGATGAGAAAAGAGCGCAGTGGCACGGAAATTACTCACAGGCCGGTCATGACGTCCGCGATGAGATCGACGCCCTTCTGCTTCGACCACCGACCGACGAACACGAACAAGTCCGCCTTGGGGTCCTGTTTAATATTGGCCCATTCCTGCGCTTGCCGCTTGTTCTCGGGGCGCTTCGATTCGGCCTCCTCGTCAATCTTGATCTTGCGAACCTCCGTCGGGTTCTCGTCGAGCGCCGCGATATCCGTAGGGTCCGGGTTGGGAAGAGAGTCGACGTGCTTGAGAGCCCAGAGGGCCGGATAGCGTGCCCAAGAACGCTTGCCGTACTTGTCCGACACACCAGCGACACCGATACTCTTCTGGTGGACACTGATGAAGGAGGCAGCAGCGTGAAGCAAATTGAACGTATTGCCGAATTGGACGTATTTCGTGCAGTGCGCCTTGCTGATGTTGAACGCCGAGCAGACCTCCTTCATCTCCTCCTTCGTACGCAGCGGCCAAAGACCCTGGAACTCGGCGTTATGGAGGGACAGGCAGACGGGGATGACCTTCGGGAGCAGGTAGATGGGAGCGAGGGCACCGTGGTAATCGTTGATGTGGTAGATGTCGATGTCCGGGAAGCGATGGATCGTGGCAGCGATCGCCTGGTTCCACGTCGAGTAGAAGATGGCGGAGCTCAAGTCGTCCATGCGTTGCGGGTAGGGGTCGGCTTTACTCTGCGCGCGGAAGACTGGGCTGTCGAGGATGACATATGTGATGTTGTCGACGACGTGCGTCTCGACCTCGACCTGGTATGCCTGTCCGAAGATGACAACCTCGATGGGCTCCATCGGGTCACCGGCCGGGTAGTCGAGATCCTTGACCTTGGCGATAACCCAGATGAGGTCCACGTCGGACATCGCCTTGCCCATGAGACTCGACATGACACCAAGACCGCCGATCTTAACCTTCAGCTTCCAGTCGATGATCTCGTACTCGAGCGTCGCGATGAGGACCCTGCGTCGCTTGTTCTTGTCCTCTGGCCACCCGATGATGTCGCCGTGATACTTCTTATGGCCGCCGAATAGTCCACCCAAGCCAGCGCTGGCCTCAGCGTCGTGCAGGTCGGTCTTCGACTTGCCGAACATGTCCATGATCGGGAAGTACTTGCCCTTGTTGGACGGCTGAACACCGTAACGGTTGTGCTTGATGCCGTAGAAGGACCGCATGAAGATGACGACGGCGGCGACAGCGGTGATGAAGGGGATAGCGAGCAGCAGAGAGTAAGTGATGATGCCAACCTTCGCTTCGCCACGGGGTTCGAGGTACCAGCGCATGGTGCTATCGTCGACGGTGATTCGGAACGACAAATGCTTGCCAGGAGGAGCGGAGATGTTGAGCTGACTGGGCGCTGCAGTGTTGGGAGGCAAACGGTCGAGCACGCCGTCGTTGTCGACATCCCCGTACCAGTAGTCGTCGAAGTCCCAGACGTTCAACTGGATATAGGTAGGCCAGTTGGCGGAG